GGGCAACATAAATGATTGGGGGTTTGGAAACACTGCCCTAGGAGGAGAGACTCAGAGAACTGAGTATGTTCAGCCTTGAGAAGACTGAGGGGGGACATGATATCACTCTATAGCAGGGGTCCCAAACTTTTAAAACAGGGGGCCAGTTCACTGTCCCTCAGACTGTTGAGGGGCCAAATTATAGTTTGAAAAAAATATAAACGAATTCCTATGCACCCTGCACATTAAAATAATTAAAATTAAAAATTAATAAAAATTAAAAATGATTGAAAAATTTAAAAATGTTTTTTCCGCTCCCTTGGGCTGCAGCAGAAGCCCAAGCTAAGGTGGGGAAGAGCCTTCTCTGGGCAAGCCGCGGCTGCCTTGCCGAGCCCAGGGGCAGCCGCTCGACAGCGGTGGTGGCTTGCCCATAGAAGGCCGCAGCTCCTGTGTCTCTGCTGCAAGCTGCGGCCGCCTTGCTGAGCCCAGGGGCAGCCTTCTATGGGCAAGCCACCGCTGTCAAGCAGGTGCCCCTGGGCTCAGCGAGGCAGCCGTGGCTTGGCCCACAGCCCAGGGACATGGCTAACATAATTAAAAATAGATTTTAAAAGTTCTATTTTTCTTACCTTCAATCCCTTTTTAACATTATCATCTCTCTCTCTCTACCGCCCTCCTTCTGTTTCCTGCTCTGTATATGCATGCAATGGAGGGGGTGGGAGGGAAGAGCAGGCACACGCACAGTTGAGCTTTTACAATTAGACCCGTGCGCTGGCTCTCTGCTTAGTTTCAAAGAACACCTGCGTTGGCTCAGAGCTTTTGGACTCGCTTGGAGATTGCTTTCTCCGAGCAAGTCCAAAAGCTCTGAGGCGGGCTGGATAAATGAGCATGACAAGCCGTATCCGGCCCACGGGCTGTAGTTTGAGGACCCATGCTCTATAGGTACCTCAAAGGCTGTCACAAAGAGGAAGGTCAAGATCTCTTCTCACTGATACTAGAGTGTAGGACACAGAATAATCAACCCAAGTTGCTACAATCCAGATTCAGGCTAGATATCAGGAAGTTTCCTCACCGTCAGAGGAATACGACAGTGGGACCAGTTGCCTAGACAGCCATCTGAGTGGGATGGTATAAATTGGCATCCTGCAATAGCAGGAAGTTGGACCTGCTGGCCTTTGTGGCCCTTTCCAATGCTACTATTCTATGATTCTATGCCATCTGTAGTTGTACGGAGCAATACTTCCATTATTTGATCCTGTATGGCACTTATTTTCAAAAAAAGACATCCAATATTCTCTACAGAGCTTAAGTTTGAATCATATCCTTTTAAAAAGGGAAAACATTGGTACAGGTAAAATGCTGATTTTTGCTGGATCCTGTTGGGAGAAGGGAACTATGAATTGCAACTTAAATGCATACAGAAGAGATAGTTAAAGCTGTTGTTTCAGAGCTGCACACCCTGCCTTTGGGCTAACCAACCCCATTTGTCTGCTTGAGAAATGCAACTCCGCCTTGGTATAATAATGTTGTCTTGGACTCACAGAGTTTGTGTCCCAGGCTCAGGACAAGTACCATTTCAGCAAGCCATGCTTCACAAACCTGTAGGTTTGATTACAGGGACAAAGAACTGACTAATCAAGCCAAGAGTAACTGGCAAGAGTGAGTGCACCTTTTACTTTACCTATCTGCCACACCTATTTGACCAAGAAACACGGGGAGTAAGGAATCATGAGAATTTTAGTTCAGTACACTCAGCTTTATGTTGGGTTGTTCCAGCCTCAAAAAAGTACAGCTGAATTTTGGAGCCAGGATTTGTACAAATTTGGCAGTTTACAAGAATACAGACGTGACTATTGTGGTTATAAAAGAAAGCTGCACCTGTAATTTAGCATGCCTCATTTTTCAAAGGAAGGTAAGCAATTAAACAAGTGTTTAAAATTAGTAGCACAAGTTTACACTGCGTTTGAAATATATTATGTCAACTCGAATTAGGCGTGGTCTAAATTTACCCTATCATTCCGGACAGTATCTTCAGAAAATAATTATAACTGGAAGAAAAAAAGAGCACGAAAACGAAAAGGCAGTTAAAATGTCAGTGTGCAGCAACAAAATCATAATGTAATTTCCATCAGTTTCAAGTTATGCTAATTTTGAAAGATTTTAATTTATTTATTGGATTTATATTCCCACCTTTTCTTTTCTTTTTTTAAGAATTCAAAGTGGCTTACCATCATTCTCTTCCTCTTGCACTCTATCATCCCCACAAAAACTACCCTGTGAGGTAGCTTAAGACTCTGTGACGGGGCCAAAATCACCCAATCCGCTCCATGGCCGAGCAGGGACTATAACCCAGAGTCCCAGGCCCACATTCTTAACCACATCACCACACAGTCTTTCTGTTCACATGACATAATAAACCACCCTACTAAAAATGCACCCGAGAGATATCATGAGTAGGGTGCTCCCTCCTCACTTCCTCAAGGGTCCCCTTCCATGATGCCACCATGCTGAATTTGTGCAAATCCAGAACAGTGGGTTTTAAAAAGGGCCATCGTTTTGCACCTAAACATGGTGAAAGAAAAAGGGAACAACCACAGCCAGCCTTTCGGAGGGCATTGTGAAGCTGCCCTACTTGTGGAGGCCAGCTTGACAGTTGGCTTTTGTGATCTCAAAACTGCATTTTAAAACAAAAAGCGAAGCTGTGCCTAGTCCAACATGGCACACAATGGTGGTAGGCAGGGAGCTTTTCCAACCACTGCCAAGTGCCACTTAGGCACTTTTGGGGCTGCTGGCAAAAGTGGCCAAGTAGCCACTTAGCAACAGCAATAAATGTTTTTGTCACTCTTGCAAGCAGCTCTGGAATGGTTTGGCTCGAAGCGTGATGGGTTATGTCTTCCAGGTTTGGAGAACACAGTGAGCCACTATGGGTCAAAGCTACACAATATCAGGGTGACTTACAGGCCAACATTTGGCCACAATGGCTAGTTCATCTTCAGTCTGGACCCTAACCCTTAACCCACCTGAGTTTATAAGCCACAATGACTTAGTGTGTTATGTACACCTAGTCATTAATTTCTTCCATCTGAAATGTCTTCTGAAGAGGAAGTGTAACAAGTAACAAGGCCATGTAGGAAGAGAATACAAATAAAAGAGCAGCAAGAATGGGGTGTGAAATTACAGATGGAAGCATTTGTCTTGCAACTGTAAGAGTCATGTACAGCCATTTTTATTATTTATTTATACCACACCAATAATTCTGCAAAGAACTCAAGGTGGCTTACATACTCCTCTGTTTTATCCTCACAACCCTGTGAGGTAGGTTAACCTGAGCATCAGTGATTGGCCCTAAGTTGCCCATGGCAGAGAGGGACTAAACTCATTCTCATGAGTCCCAGTCCAAAAACCTAACCATTATACTACCCTGGCCAGAATGTTTAAGCTCATACTGCCCACAAATTTCCAGCTTTTCTCTGTACTTAACCTTTTACAAAGCTGGGATACTCAACCCTATACATGAGTTATCAGCTTCTGTGCTGAAGAAATATTAACTTGTTTGGTCTTTATGTTCAGATGTCCTAAACTTCTTGAGGACATCTAAGAATTCAAGAATTAATCTCCCTATTCTGGAAATGGGTATAGGATCATCAAATTGTAAATCTTAAAACAAATGATGGAACTCAAGGGTAAGCCAGGAGGAAAAATCCAAAGGGAGAAATGGTGAATTAGATAATTGGCTTTTAGGCTCTTCAGAGATTACCACACATGCACCCATTTATTCATTTACACTGTGGAAAACATCTAATCAAACTTCTGCCTTAAAAGCTCAGGCCAAAATCTTGATAGGTGTCTCACTTTTTAAAAGAATATTAAAGTTAAAGCATTGTTGATGCAGAAAGGCAAACAATCTCCAAAACCTTTTGTAAAAAAGAAGGAAAACACTGCTATAAAAGTACTGAAAATACAGTGGTACCTCAGCTCACAAACACCTCAGTTCACGACCAAATCAGGTTGTGAACAAAATGACAGGCATGATCGCGGTTGTGCTGGGGGGGCGGGGAGATGGCCACGCTTGTGCTCAGGGTGTGTGTGTGGGGGAAGATGGCCATGATCTTTGTTGTTCTTTGTCACTTTGCTTCACATTTTTCTTACAGAACGGATTAACCTTATTTACATTGATCCTTATGGGGAAATTTAACTTGGCTCACAACCAATTTGGGTCATGACCAGAGTCCTGGAACAGATTAAGTTCGTGAGCTGAGGTACCACTGTATATTAAAAATTCTTTTATTCAGTAGTGTTATGCAGCAATCTTCTGCCATTACAGAAACAAGGAATTCTACAAAAGAGCAGCCTGAGGCATTTGAAAAATCTAAGTAGCTGAAAAATCTAAGTAGTTCTCTCCATAACCTATTCCCACCTTGGATTTAAAAAGTGTAGTATTAGCTTGCAACTGCCACATTTGAAGCAGGCAACTATGCCTTAAGTATCAGCCACTTTTTCTTAACAAAGAAATATATTTAAACGGCTTGGGTCCTGGTTACCTGAAGGAGCGCTTACATCCATATATGCCCGCCTGCCCCTTAAGATCAGAGGGAGAGGCCCTTCTCCGGGAACCCTCTGTGAAGGAAATTAGGAGGGTAGGTACTCGGAGGAGGGCTTTTTCTGCGGTGGCGCCCAATCTATGGAATGCGCTCCCCAGAGAGGTCCGCCTGGCGCCGTCGTTATTTGTTTTTCAGCGCCAGGCGAAGACCTTTTTATTTAAGCGTCATTTTAATTGTTAACAATATTTGTTTATTTATCTGGCCAGGGCAACTTCTTTTATATTGTTATTTATTTTATATTGTGAATTTTATATTGTTATTTTTGTATTTTATTGTATTTTATTTTGTGTGTGAGCCGCCCCGAGGCTTCGGCAAGGGGCGGCATAGAAATGTTTTAATAAATAAATAAATAAATAAATAAATATTGCCACCAAACTGTAAGATCACAACTTTAGAACACTGAACATGAACTTGACAATTTGGTTTGGAAAAAAAAAAACACTTTTATTTCAAATAGGTGACACTTTGATATATTAGCATCTATATATCTGACAGAAAAAAACAGAGTATATACAAACAGGTATGAACTGTAAGGTCCAATTCACATGTTGCATTTCCAGTCCCATAGATTTGATATTCTGGTTTGTTGTGTGGCATTCAAATCAGATTCATAGTCTGGGAGATACGGGAAAGTTTGGTTCAACAAACCATCTTCTTCTATGAAGTTAGAGGAGTAAAAGGAAAGGCAAAAGTGAGAGGTAAGAGGGAGTGCTCAAACACACAGTTTCCACTCCAACAAACTGTGCTGTGTTGGATCAGGATCGTGCCATCTGAGCCAAACCCAAATATAAACTAATTGCAGAATGGGCACAACTGTCTTGTCTTCTGAGTTCTGTTTAGGTAATTGAAAGTATGGATTAGCTTCATAGATTGCTTTAGTTGCTGTAAATCTTCACTCTTTCAAGCCTTTATGACTTTCCACTTTTATGAACTTTGAAAATTCTGTATTTCTTATGAAAGCGTGAGTGAAAGAGTTTATGTTCTATGGCACACACTTCTTCATGGATGAGGGAGGGCTTCACCCGCAGGAGGAAGGCAAAAAGATTTAACACAAACTGGTAGGTATGGGGAAAATCTGATTCTCTATAGTGTGCCAGATGGCCACACACCCTATAAAAAGAAGTGAGAAAAATATCAAATTGATTTTCAATTACAATATCCAGAAAAAAGGGCCTATCCTATGAATGTTAATTTAAACTTTCCTCATATCAATACAACTACAAACATTTAGACAGCACTCATGATCTTTGCTACACCTGCCTCCTAAATAACTCTGTTAAGTCTTAGTATCTGTCTTATACTCAGGACTTAGGCAAAGCCATATAATTAATCTGTTAATGCGTAATTTTCTTAACTCCATTCAAAAGTCCTAATCAAACAAATGGGGAATGGGTGGAGTAGAGGCTGCCTAACATAAATCACACGGCAAGCTGTGCTCAGTGGCTCTTGCGCAGATCTACCAGTTTTCACGCTCCTGTTGAAAACCACCCATGTTGGATGCTTATATCAGCATGATGAAACCACCACCACCACCCTCTGCCTGATCCATGTGGAAAGTTTCTTTGGATGCAGTGCGTTCAGCAGTCTCTGGGCCATCTAGATTTCAAGCAGGCAGCATGCTATTGTTTTCCTGAATTATAGACAGAATCTTTTCTGTAAGAGCGTCCAGATGATTAAAAACTTGCCCAGGGGAAATCTCTCTGCTTCATATTTCTGTTGCACTGAATTATGACTTGTGCTCTTGGTTTTATTTTCCCTCTCTCTGTGACATCAATACACACTCACAGCTGTCTGGATATGCTATTGTGTAGAAATTGTTTTATAGTGCCTTATTCAAGCATTAGGGCACTTTGTTTATTACTAATAAAACCAGAATTAATGCTTTGAAACAGATAAGCCTTCCTACAAAAAATCATGGTTGTGGATATATTTATCTTTAAAGGAAAAAAGAAGAGTTTTGTCTTGGCTCTTTTTCAAGAATGCAAAACCTGGCTACAAGCTATGGATTATATTGGGAAATAAGTTGCATAAAAATATCCTGATTTACAGTGACTACAATGGTTTGTTATTACTACAAAACACAACACTACATTTCCGTAACAAAGGAAATGGGCTCAGACCAACACATATTCAGTAAGCTAAGTCAGACAAAGGATTTTGCAGCCAGGCTATTACAGAATAATATACAAAACCCAGTTTTGTTACCAGCAAGAAATTAATAGTAGCTTGAATCATTCACTTCCCTACACGTCTTTTTCACTTGCTCACTACTGGTTGACAGAATTTAACAGCACTGTGAATAGCATGCTCCTACTTTCTCATACATAAACCATATTTTTATTTTTCAGTTCAAATAATAAATGATGGCTCCTTGTTATCCAATTATCCACTATCTGTAGTTTAAATATTTATGTAAGTCATGTATTAATAACTGAAAAGCCACATAGCACAAAGTAATGTCTTTACTACAAATAAACATTTTTCTTCCCTTTCTTTTGATGGTTTAGAAAGCAATCCTGTGGCCCCTAGACAGCATCCAGGGGGTTACAAGATTTGTTGGATTCTGAGATCCAAGGTCAGGTTAGGTGGGCTTTTTCTCCAAGGCTGTAAAAGTCATCTCAGTGATGAAAAAGGGGCCCATTCCAGGGGGCAGGGAGAAGACACAGGTCACCAGGATACAGCATATCCCAGTCTCCTTCTCTACCTGTCTGAAGTGTCGAAGCCTCACACTCCTCCTACTTTGCACAGAATGTTTGAAATACAGGCAGTCCCTGTGTTACGAACATGTTCAATTCCTGAGAAAACTGAAATTTGTCTTTAAGTCAAATTTGTATGCAAGTCAGATCATGTATAGTTCGCCCTCCACATTCACAGGGGTTAGGAGTGCAGGACTCTTGTGAAAGTGGAAAAATGCAAGTATTGCTAGCCCCCTCCCCACCCAAACTCACCAGTTCCTTGCAGAAAGGAAATGTGGAGATTGCCCTTTCTGGATGGGCGGGACAGGAAGGTGCGCTTTGGAGGCCTCCCTCTCTCTCCTTTCATCTACCCTCTCTCTATGATGATGCTTTGGAGGCTCTCCTTCTCTCACCTTCCAATTCTCCCCTCTCTATGGTGATGACGACTTACTGCAGTGTTTTTTTAGTTAATAGACTTTATGGAAGTTTGTTGTAAGTATGGGTTGTTTGTAACTTGGATGTTCGCAACTCAGGGACTGCCTGTGGTCCAAGTTCAGAGGCTTATAGGCATCCCCATTGGATTGCATGCTTAATCTAGAAAAAATAGCATCACAAGAGAAGAAGGAAATGTCTATCTCAACAGTGAATTCTATCACCAACATTTTCTTTTTAGCTTCACAATGTTGTTACCATTCTTCTAACTCAAGAAGGATCCAACAAAGATACAAACTATGAAACATAATTTAAAGGAAGGAAAGTGCTACTTTTATGTAGACTTTTTAGAGCCTACATAGTCTACAATTGCTTTTTTTCATAAAATGTCTTACTATAAAGTTGTTTTTAAAGCCTACATTTTCAACAGTTATCAAACACATACCTCTCTTTGCACAGTTTAGTTGTACACAACCAATAGTTTGTATTCAAAGTTGTAAATATACTGCCTTTTTGTTGCAAAACTCCAGCAAGACTGTGGCCATGAAAACAATTCTGTGCTGTGTTTTCGTTAGTCCAGTTCAGCTGGAAAATGGAAGGTGTCGGCTTCTCCGTAGGTTCTGTGGAGCCAGAAAGTGCACGGAATTGCCTTTGAAGGTCCACTACCATTTCTGTTAAAAGCAAAACACTACAACAATAAGCCACAAAATGTTTTTAAGATCCTTCCAGGAAGATAAAGCCTAAGCCATTTGTATGAGGAAAGCAATCTTCACATCACACATTTGAGTGCTGTCTAAAAGTTATTTCCGAAAGTTTAGAAGAGGTGGTGAAGGTAAAGTAATAACAAAACTTACACTCTTCTTGAAGAATCTGGCTGTCTCACATGAGGAACTTTTAAGTCAATATGTAAATATTCTACAACTCAAGCCCAAAGATGAGATGAACTGAAGACAAAGAACTGCAATCTCCTCTTTAGCTAGGAATGCCCTAACTCTGATACTGTCTGTGTGAACATGATAGGAGTATGGCAAGGTCTTTCCCTTCATGGAGTGCTGTAACCACCTATTTTCAGTGTAGGTAGCTGAGCCAGGAAGAATTCAAGGGGTAGAAGCCAAAGGTGTGGATATCTGCTCATACAATGGGACTTGATTCCTCCCCTCAGTCCCCCCCTCACCCTCCACAGCAGTTTTTGAAGGCTTGCAGGTGTTATTTATTCATTTAGTATTACACTTATATTCCACTATATTAGTCCAAGGGCTCTCTAAGTGGAAGGAGGGAGAATCACCCGTCCTCCAGGTTCTGCTGAGAGAAGTTCGGTCAACAAAAATACTTCACTAGATTTCACCCAATCCAGAATGATAATTCCATGGAAATGCTCAGCTACTACATATGCTGGTCAATGGGAAGGCCGCTGGCTACCCATTCCAATTTGTCTACTTACCTGTTTGGGAATTAATGCCCCAATTCCCCTATGTAAAATTGTCATGTCTCACACATTCTCGTAATCTGGTTCTAAAACCTAGTGAAGAGCAAGTTCAAATTGTCTGAGAAAAGGTGTCATGCTCATTGCCTTAGAACAGAAGGAATAAAATAATTATACTTACGCCTTTTCTTGAGAACAACAGACATTTCCCTTGCTGTATATAATAGTGGCTTCTCACATCTCCATAAATACCTACAGATGAAAAAAGGCAGGGTGCTTACATGTAACTGTTGTTCTTTGAGTGGTCATCTGTGCATTCACATATATGGGCTCTGAGTGCATGTAGAGGTAGCTGTTGCTTGTGTGGAGTGAGTGCGTCTCAGTCCTGAGGGATGGAGCCCGGAGAGCTCATAGGTGAGGGCAACAACCCATTTTGCCAGCCTCTGTGAGGAGATAGGGAACCCTGTATTTGCACAGCCGTAGGCAATGAAGAGCTGTTGTGAGCATTGGAGGGGGGCAGTTCTGTCCTTGTAAAAGGCCAGGGCCTGCTGGATGTTGGGGAAAGGAGCTCTGTCTCAATTGCATAGGCTGGTGTTGCAGGGAAAGCTGGCAGCACATTAAGATGGAAGGAGCAGACCACTTTGGATTGGAGACCCACTTTGTCCTTGTGGAAAGTGAGGTCCAGGGCATCAGACTGGTGGGTGGCCAGGCCACTTGTGCATCAGACTGGTGGGTGGCCAGGCCACTTGTGCATCAGGCTGAGATGATGACCACCAGGAAGGCGGTCTTCCACCACAGCAGGCACAGGACTGTGGTGGCCATGGGTTCGAAGGGATTTTTTGTAAGGGCTTGGAGGACTTAGATAGGCCTTATGGGTGTTGGTGGTCTGGCTGAGGCCTCTAAGGAACTGTTGAGAGAAGGTGAGAGAAGGTAGAGTGGCCCTGTATGAGGGCATGGAAGGCTGAGATAGCAGCCATGAACACACAGATGGAAGCTGTCTTGAGGCCCCATCAGAAGAAGGATTTCAGGAAAATGAGCACCTGGCATATGGAACAATTGGTGGGTTCGAAATTGTGTTGTGTGGCAAATGAGGTAAAGGCTTCCACTTTGTGTGGTACCAAGTGTCCTGTAGCAGACCACCTTCATGCTGTCCAAGATGATCTGCATGTGGTGACTCAGAACAAGTTTCTGGAATGTGATGAGGGTCTTTTGCACTGCCAGCATCTCCAAGTGGTGGATGTGCCTTGACACATTGTGGGGATCCCACTTGCCCTGGATTACTGAGGGACCCATATAGAGACAGAGGTCTCTCTAGTGATAATTAGGCTCAGGTCTGGAGGAGTAAAAGTGGAGCCAGTGCCAATATTCTGACAGATAGTCCACCACTGGAGGTCGTTAGGATGAGATGAGATGGGTGGCTTCTGACCTGATGTCATTGGCTAGGTGCTGTGATTTCCAGGGGTAGGCCTCACATAGAGGAACAATTCTGTTCGACATCATCAGATGGTACCTGGTCATGGTGGCCGGGTAATTCACCGTCTTGATGGTTAGGCTGACTGAAGAAAAGAAATGGCACCCCATAGCACCTGCCCAGCAACCCTCCTTATTGGCCAGCATGGAGTGCTCCATCCTGGATGGCCCCTCGGCAGACTCTACAATGATGGAGTTTGGAGACATTCCTGTGCTGAGACAGGAATGTTGCATCTTGTTCCTGCACTGGGTACATGTTCTCCAGCCTTTTGGGTGTTGGGGCTCCAGAGGGGCAGCTGACTCCCATTCCAGTCTCACCAGGATCATCAATGTTAGTAGGGCAGGTATAGTCACAGGGCCTGTTGGCTTGGTGTACACTGCCTCAAACACCAGGTCTTTGGCTCTTCCCAGTTCTTGTGGTTGGCCACCCGCAGGACTTGGTTAGAGAACAGTACTGGGTCTTCCAATGGAGAGGGAGTGTCATAAGGGGTCATCTGGCAATGCTTCGGAGGGCTGGTCTGGTAAGACTCCAAGTTTGATGGATAACTGTACAAGTCTAATGCTTGGGATTGAGGCCTGAAGATTGATGATTATGGGCCTAGTGCAGGGACTTAAGGCAGTTGGGTCTGCTGGAGGGTGGGTAGAGAGCATTGGGTCCTAGCTTCTCTGAGAGACCTGGACATGGATGGCCTTGGTGCAGCTTGGATTTTCATGGTATGTTTGAGGACTGTTGGAGTGTGCCGGACCCCAACACAGGCACTCTGGCCATCTTGAGTAGGAGGCCCAACACTCATGGTGGAACTCTGTATCATAGTCCCTTTTTGTGTGGAAGTGTTGGCCATTCAGGTCTACTGTTCCGGTGAGTGATGGGGGTGCAGGATCAAAAGCTGCACCTGTTGGGACCAATGGAGCAGGCCACACTTGGGATTGGTGAAGGAGGGGAGGTGTTCCTTGGTCCCAAGGTGATGGAAGCTAGCTGCCACCTAGGTGAGGAGGGTTCTTTAATCTTGTCCTCTGAGAAGGATGTGCTCATAGCCACTGGGTGCATTGGTGTCAAGGTCTTATGGACTAACCTCAGTACTGGTGAGGAGTGCCGAATGTTGGGCCCTGGCACTGCATCTCTATTACACAGGAGGCCAGAAGGGGGCATCTTATCATGGTGCTTTGTGCGCTTACTGCCACCTTTGCCCTTGTTTGAATTAGCCTTCACCCTTTTTGTTAGTTTCTTGGGTTTGGTGGTGTTGGCAGGTTTTTGGCTTGCTCCCTCTGCAAGGTGACCACAGGGGGTCCTGCTGCCAGTGCAGGCACGAAGGATGTTGTGGCTGCAGATGTTGATGGTTGCTCTGATAGCTGAGAGGAGCTATTCTCGTGGAAGGCTCTGCTCCAGCTTTCAGGCAGTCAGCCCTGTGCTTCTTCATCTGTTTGGTGAAAGCCTGGCTGCGGTAGCAGGCCTCTTACTATGTGACTCTCCCCCAGGCAGAAGAGGCACTGTGAGTGCCCACTGGTTGGGGGAAGTTTACTGCTGCAGTGTGAACAATTTCTAAATTGTTCTTTGAGTACCATGACAGGGGAAGGCGAAGCAAAGTTGGATAAAGAGAGGAATGTGACATGCGGTGCAGTGAGGAAAGCAGGTGAGTAAATGGTGTAGCAGAGAAGAACAAACAGATACAAACTTCTCTTTTTTCTCTCTCAGAAAGAAAGGCTGCAAGAAGGATTTGGAAGCAATATTGAGTGAGATGTAGTTGAAAAGCAAGGACTCATGCAGGAAAAAGTTAAGTGCATAGGTAGGAGCAGAAGAGGAACTTCCTGATGTACCCACAATGGTGGTCGATGAAGAACTGAGGACCAGGAGGGAGCCCCCCCTCTCACACCAAGGCAGGCCCAGGGAGGGGCTCCCACCAAATACTAATTAATTAGCCTTGGAATCTTCCTGCACAGGGAAAATGTATGCATGCAGAGCCCATATGTGTGATGCACAGAAACCGTGAAGAAATCGAAATACTGGTGGATAGTTACATATAAATAACTCCCCCGCCCCAGCCCCCAGCCATAAACTTAAGTAGGATCAAGACCTTAGGGAAAAGCCTAATACTCCTTCCTATTTAGTTTCAACAAATAGTTTAGTTTCTCTGACAAACTCTCCTCAATTAATATTATCGTGTTTACTTGTGATTAAATGAGAAAAAATTAATAGGTACCCTAACAGGTCAATTGCAGCACATGAAAAGAAGTTCTTTTGCAGTCTGCTTATATTGATCTGAAATTTTAAAACTGCCATTGCTCTGGTTTTTTTTTTTAATCTTTGCCAATTTGGACTGGATTTTTTAAAATGCTGCTATATGCATTTTCACATGCACATAGCATGTGAAAATGCACATATGCATTTTCATATGTGCTTTTAAATTGTCATTTTAAATAGTGTTTATGGTATTTATTGAGTTGGATCCAGATTTAGGCAGAACAGCAAGGATTGATGGCAGTGAACACCCCCTCCCCGGAACTGCCCTACTTCCCCCTCTGGGGCAAATGCCACACCAAGAGAAACCCTCTCATGGAAGGTACGTATCTATGCCACGTAGGGCTTCCCCAGTTTCCTTCCTCAACCTCCTGCATTGCATCTGTACAGAACTGGAAGGGCTGCTCAAGGGACAAGAAAGCAGGGAGGTCTGCTTCCACCAGCCCACTAGAATATACATGGCTAAATCTGGATCTAGATTTAGCCATGTATATTCTAGCCAGGCTAGAATACATTTTAAAATTGTTTTTAAAATGTATTCTAGCCTGATTGTACTGTGAGCTGTTTATTGGCTAATTGCTTCGAAAAATAGGATATAAATGTTTCACATAAAGAAGTAAATGAACAAAACAGCTGATAGTTAGGAAAAATCAGACTGCCTTCCCATCACAGCAATGGTTCTGACTCCTGACATAAATCACGACTCTCCCCCTTTGCTATGGCTACTTCTTCAAAAAAAGTCTAGAGAGGAAATGCAGCAGGGACCTCTGATCATCTCACCTAGATAAGGCCTGAGGCTCATTTTTGATTTTATCTCAAAATGATACAGATAACAAATCAGCACTTAATGTATTTTAAAATGTATTAATTATTTAAAAACATTTCTTCCATTCATTATTTTTACTTCTTTTTCAATAGCAGCAGTGGTAGTATAAGTGGAAAGAACCACCCACCAAAATATATTTAAAAAAATTTACACATAAAGAAACAGATTTCCCAACAAAACATATTTGGTGTACCAATTTTACTTCTCATTCTCAAGTATTACTCAGTATTATCAATAACTTCACATTTCTCCAAATCAAAAATAAAAACATAAAATAAAATAATCAATCTCTGAACATACCTGATTTTTTTTTCATTAAATTTCTTCTGCTCCAAATCTAAAGTGTTCTTTACAACAAAGTACCATTTTCTAATATTGAACACTGGTCTGCCTATAGTAAAAATAATTTGTTATTTGTTAATTTTTACCTCTCCCTTTGTTCAAGAAACTTAATAGCAACATTTCAACCTAATGAGAATTGTGCAAAGTAGAGTAGGCTGAAAGAGACTAGCTCAATGCCAAACTCAAACACTCCATATTATATTGATCCCCTTTAAATTGTGATTGAAAGTACTGTATTTTTTGATATTTTAGGGTAACTTACATCAATTTCAATTAATTCATAAGTGCAATTCAACTGGATGTTCTCTCTAAGAGAGGGATGTTCCGCATTGTGCCCTAAATCAAAACCATTTTATCTGCTTTGTTACCCAAAGAACAGATGTCCTTCTTCACTCTGTGATACCCCCCTGAGGGACAAGACCTACTGCTGACCTACAAAATCTGGAAGACTTAAGTATATGACTTAGTTCATGTAAGGTGAGGGTGGTTGGTGAGCTTCAGTGACTCATCACCAGCTGATTTCCCCTCACCGCTTGCAGGTTGTTGTAATGCCTGAACCTCATGAGGGTGGGTAGCTGCAGTGGCAGCGAGTGGTTGTTGGCCACCCCAGCTTCGCCAGGTCCGCATGCCATAACCAGGGTTGTGAAGACCTGGCCACAATCTGGCTCTCTTGCACTGCCAAGACTTCTTTCCTGTACTTCACCCTGGCCAGAAAGTGAGCCAAGCTAAGATCAAGTCTGTGAACACTTAGGGAAGCTAACAAACCCCTTCTCTGTGCAAAGTACAACATTATTTGGGAAAGTATGCAAAGTACGTAAGTTCATATGCATGAAAACAGAACGCTGCTCACACAGCAGGCATGCAGGTGGCATGTGTGCCCGGTAACTTTGCTTGGTCTTGTTTCCTGACAGATGTCCCTGGAAACATTTAGCATGAGGTGAACTTGGGGCAGAGAGAAAGTGGTTCAAGAGTCTGGGGAGCCACTTCAATCCAATCCAATCCGATGGATTCCCACCTTCAAACCAGATTCTTCACACATCACTAGCCATGAAACTTGAAGAAGGTAATTAGGGAACGCACCAGCAAGCAAGGGGTGTTAACAAGCCACTGGGGCCTATCAACCTTCTCCCTGTCATGTGGACTAGCTCTATTCACAGTTTGAACATTACTCATAGTTAAAACTAGCTCAGAAATGTGAGGAAAATTTGTATTGGGGAAGAGAGGGGAGAAGAGAAGGAAAAACATGATCCTGTACCTCAGCCTAGGCAACCAGGTGCTGCCTAGATGTTTTGAACTGCAACTCCTATAATCGCTGAGCACCAGTATGCTAGCCAGAGATGATGGGAATTGAAGCCCAAAGCATCTGGGGGATGCCAGGCTGCCTACACCTACTGTAGCCGGTCCCTGATCCTTTCACTACCTTTAAGAAATAGGGTAAGTTTCATATGCATGCACCCACATGAAAATCTTGCATTTCTGAAACCTGAATCTTTAGTATTTGATATACTACTTCTGCATCTACTTAAAATCTAAATGACTGCATTTATTCAGATCCGGCTTGGAAGCCATTTGAAATCATGAAATGTTCAATTTTGTGCACAGATTTTGTTCTTTCTTCCATACATGAAATCATACAATGGAATGCTTTTCAGTTCACACAGTGTAAACAAATCAATTTCACAACTGTCTCACATGTACACTACTAAAATGCTTGGTACCTTCTTCATTGTTCTCGTTTTCTTCTTCAGCATAGTTTGCTAGTTGCCTGAAAATGATCAGATTTACTGTTTACTGGAATCGCAGTCTACATTCTTTAAAGGTATTTAAAGATTCATGATCTGAATGATTTTAACCAAAATATTCAAAGGTCTTATTTGTAATGATAAAATATTGCTTACTTAATGTACAGCCCCCAACACCTACTTCCCTGTATGTGGTTTTCCAGCTGCCTCAGGCTTTGGAACGGGAGTCTATCCACTTGCACTGAACCCTTCTGTGGCAGCACTTGCTGTCCTCAGAAGATGCAACACTGGTGTAGTAAATGGGGCAGAAGAGTTGCGTCTCACTGCTTCCAAATGGGTTAAGAAATATTTGAATCAGTTCTGTGTCCAATAAAACCAGCCCTTTATAAAGTTTTAATAACCACTGTTATTCAATGACCAAGCAAATAATGGGAAATGGGAATCTATGTGCCATGTACATAAATAATAGGGGGACGTTACTATTAAGTGATATTTATATTTCCCGTAATGCAATAGTTATTTGTTTATTCCTTGATAGTTAAGGATTTATCTAGTGTTTTTGTGACTCTGAGCCTGTAGTAAGTTATTAAGTTTTGTTTGTTATACATTAATGCACACTTACCACTCATATTGGTCATCCAGCAAGTACAGAATTTTCAATACTACTACAATAACAGCCATAGCAAGAATATCATATTTCACTTTCTGAGATGATTTATTCCCTGGATGAAGCGTCAAGAAGTCTGTTTCACCAACGCCAGTTTTTTTTACTACCCTGCAAGTCCAACTGTGCATATCATCTGAAATAAAAGATTTTAAAATGAGGACAACTTTGAACATGGTAACATTTCAATACAAAAAAACAAGTTTGGGGACAGAGTTAACAAATCTGCATGTAAAGCACCACCCATGACAATCTGTCGCATGAATTGCACACTAACTTTGCATGCTTCCATGTAGGAATTTTGTCAAGTTTGTATGAGCCATACAGTGGTGAGCTGAAGCACGCTAGCCTGAAAGGAAGTTCTACTAACATGAATGCAATGTACTTGTAAATAAATCTGCTTATTTCAGGTTTATTCAACATGGAAAGCCCCTCTCCCAGTTAATAGTGTAATGGGTTTAACAAGCATTATTTGACCACCCTGAAGCACTTTGTGATAAGCAGCAATTTACTATATTTATGATATATTGCAGATATCATTAGTGTAAAAGTATATATGTACCTTGAACATATAGTGACTCCACTTCAGTGCAGCCTTGAGAATAATCCAGCCTAAACTAAGTACTGTAAAGTTTCACTGATTTTAACAGGAGAGAGATCTAAACAGGATTAGACTAATGGGACACTGTAATTCTTGAATTTTGTATTTTTCATGTTCCATAGAAATAAGATTTGAGCAGCATTCATGTCAGATCTATAGACTAACTTGTATTTTAGCATTAAAAAGAGGGACCTTCATTTTTTATTTATTTTTTACACCAGTTTAACAGTAGCTACCATCCACTGTTTTGCTGTACAGGTATTTTCAAAATTTCTTACTTTTCCAGTTTAGCAAGGATGTCATGAATCAGCTCTCTCACTGAATTCCAGTGAGGCTTCAGTGCCATATAGGCTGAAGTACACAGGTTCACCTGCCTATATTTGATTCCCAAAAGGCAACAATTGTTTCTGCATTCTATCAGTAAACTTGGCCCCTCACCATTTCAACTTCCACTTTTCCCCCCCATAACATTCTGAAGAAGTACACCCGAGCTACTAAAATAAGCTGCTGCACACATAAGTACTTCTCAATCCCAACCAAATGTGCCCTTACCAGGCAAGTTAAGTTCCATCAAATACTTGATGCAGAGAATGTTTGGATGAAGGAAGCTACTGTTTGTTATTTCTGGAAAACAAGGTAGCTCTATATAATTTACAAGAGCATGCATTTTTTTATGAACCTCCTCATATGTTGGCCAGGACTAAAAGAGAAAAGATGGAAAGTATTAAAAGATGCATTTTATTATCTAGAATTGTTGCTGCAACATTATTCTACTGAACACACATTTTGCTCTGCACAGCAATCTAAGCTGGTTTTCAGCGACTCTGCAAAGCACCAAATATTGTGCAGGGTTGCTCTTTTGCCCTGGATCTTTGACATTCTGCTGATTTGAAGAACACTTAGCCAAAACAAATAGAACAGCAGGATGAGCATAAAACTACTAAGATCTATTATCAGTTAAGTCAGAACTGCTTTAGTTCTGTAACTGCACAACACTGCGGCATTCTTCTTTGAACTACTTCAAGGAAGACACATATAGGTGTATTTTGGGCAAATAATACAAAATGCAGGACAAATCTCTGAATTGATTAGAAAGGTATTTGAAAAACAAGTTACAACTCAGCATAACTTATACCCTGTTATTATCACATATATTTGTTTTAAGGTGAGTTCATTTCAAAATAAAGGCATAGCAGAGGCTACAGGTTTTTAATGCATGGATTTATACAGTTGTGTGAGATGCACTGACTTATAGTTATGTAAGGACAGTAAAATAATCCTTCAAATATAAAAAACTACTGATGCAGAAACCAATTCCATTGCAATTTAGCTAATTGTATGATGCCTTCAGGTTGCACTATAGCATCACTACATTTTTATCCAATACTTTGTTTTACTTAATCTTTATCCAGATTTCTTCTATTTAAAGCTAGAACAAACATAAACATATTATCTGCTGTTTTCAGAACAGACTTTTCCTACCTTCTACTGAACTCCTTCCCCAAAATGGAAGGCTTTCTCCATCTAACAAATTGAAACTTAATCCAGACAAGTCAGAGGTGCTACTGATAGGTGGAACCCTAGTGCAAAGGGAGCAAAGCTGCCCTGTCCTGGATGGGGTTGCACTTCCCCTACATGACGGAGTGTGGAGTCTGGGGATGCTCCTGGACCCAGAATCGTCCCTGGAATACCTGGTGGTGTCTGTGGCCAGGAGCACCTTTTATCAACTGCAGTTGACATATCAGTTGTGCTCTTACCTGGTGATCCATGCACTGGTAACCTTACATTTAGATTACTGCAATGTTCTATACATGGGGCTGCCATACTCTCCCAAATGTAGAAACACATCATTTGGGAAGAGTGGAGAGGAAAAGAGCATGAACACATGAGTGTTCTCATGTGGACTTATTATCCTCTGTGGACTTTCCACTCCCATCTCCTCCTATTTTCTCCAGGGACAAGTTGAGGGGTTGGCGGGCTCTTCTCCCACTTGTGTTGGAGTACAGAGAAGCTAAGGTGGCAGAAGCTTCTTTTGAGCAACACAAAAGACTTCTGCCTTTTCCTACCTTCTTTTCAATGTGCTGTCAATTCATGGGAGGAACTGTATATGCTGCAGGATCGTTCTCACCAGGGGCCAAGGGCACTTGACCTTGGTGAGCGAATTTGTAAAGGCTGGCCAATGTCCAAAGCTAACTGTATATTGCTTAAATGTGAGTCTAAGTTTACAAGTACCCTATGCATAGAACATGCATGTCTATGTCTTGCTGAAACAATCTTACAAGACTCTGATGGAAATGTCTGTGAGTATGAGACACTACTGAACTGGGCACAAGACCGGGAAGGAGAACTTGAGTAACAGGAAAACAAAGGTGGTTATTTTCAATGCAACAGCATTTGTTTTCCTTTCTTTTTAGTTCATTTGGGATTCTGACAATAAAGCATCCATTCAGAAGTCTAATATTTAGTATCATTTCCATTAAAGAAGCATAATTCTCAGGGATCTAGGGAATGCATGCATTCCAGCAAAACATTTAACCCCTGCAGGTGTATGTTTACAAACTGTCTTATGCTTTCACTATTTCAGAAATGCAAGCTGTTTTTCCCCTAAAGTAACCTTTCCACCTGAAGGACTTTTCTTGAAAAACAAGTAATGCGTGTCTTACTGGACTGTTGCACATTCATTAGTCTTCAGACATTTCGGACAGTAGTCGTAATACAGGATGTATTAATGATGAAAGCCACATATGCGTCCCTTGATGATATTCTACACATATCAGCCCCAAGACATAACTTTCCAAGTATAAGAAAATTAAAAATATGGCCCTTTCACAGTATGCAAGTGCAAGAAAACACTCAAGCAGATTTTGAATTGAATGTGTTGCCAACATTTTATTCTTCCGGATGTAAGGTAAAACAGAAAGTTATCCAACACTACACCACATTAGAAACTAAGTCCATTAGGGCTACTGAGACAAGCTATGGCCTCAAAGCAAATTTAGAAGGGGTATTTTTAAAGATTTCTAATTTAAGGTGCACCTGAGACAGTGAAACAAATTGCCTGGGGAAGATGCAGAACCTTCTTTTACGGAGCTTGCCATTGCACAAAGTCAGGGTCTTTCCCCAGTTGAGTTCACTTTAGAGCCAGCCAAGGCTGAAAATATCTTATGCAAAGTGGTCTCTTTTATTAGTGATGGCACTGTGCATGTGCTGGACCAAGTCTAACAAATTATCCAATGAATATTCTAAACAAGGATGTTCTTCCCGTCACAACTGCCGTTCTGAAACATTCTAAGACACTGCACATTTGTTTTTTATTCCCAATACTAGGCCGACTGCACAGTGACCCAATACTGTGGGGGGCATTGGTGAAGCAGAACCAAGCCCAAAAAATGCCCCTGAGAATGTAGGCAGCAGCATAGTGGTTTTATGGAATGGTACAGCTACATGGGGCAGTAGTGCTGGCCTTCTCGAATCTAGTCAACACAACATTCTCTCATCCTTCACTTGCCCAAATCTTTTATCCCAATTTACAAGAAAACTGTAGTCTAGATTAACATGAAATAATTATAGCCGTGTAAAAGTATTTTCTTAAACATGCATACAAATATTTTAACTACTTCAAAGAAATAACTTAAACTTTTTTCAGATCTGTTTATTTAAAATAAAACAATTAAATGTGTTAAATCTGCCATAGGTCTTAATTTTATGGCAATGATGTGGAAGTGTTTTTCAATGCAAATAACTTTCCAGATGATTCTATCATGTAGACACAGCCATTGGTCCTCCCATCACTGCCTTCTACTAAAAACAAGTACCACACTGCTTTCCTTGTAAAGGAGTTTTTGAAAACAAGAAGATAACTGAAGTATGTTCTCAGCCATATAATTTAAACAGAACTGGAACAAGCAAGAAATGGAGAGAAGCAAACTTATTCCACCCAAGGCTAGTCTAAGGTTTCCTCTGTCAAATATCTAACAGCAAGATTTTATTTATTTATTTAAAGCTTTTATAGAGTGCCCATCTACTGATGTCTCAGGATGGTTTACAACAAGCCACAGCAAGATGGCTTGCTACAACAAGATGTTCATCAACTATTTATTAGTAGATAACAATAACCCTTCAACAGATGTACTTATGAGGAGACAAGTTAAATGCTTTTATTTACTGATGGTAGAAGCCTAGTCCAATTTTTCTATTTGCATATTTGTGTATATTTGCATATTTGTGTATACTTATGCATGCATGCACATGTGAATACATGCACACACAGTGATCAAGTGTTATCTTGGTGGGGAAGAGGTTTGGAAAAAGTAGATCTTCAGGAGTTCTGGATTTCAACTTCCAGCATTCCTGACCTCCGACCATGCTGGCAGGGATATCAGGGAGTTGACGTCCAGAACTTCTGGTGATCTACCTTCTGCCCAACCATGTAGTAGGGCTGTGAAACAGGGCTGCCTAAAGACAAAGTAAAGGTTTCTACCTAAGTGAGCAATTTCTCTGGTATGCCAAAAATAATATTTTACTTGAGAGAGAGAGAGAAAGAAGAGACATGAAAAACATTTAAAAGGTCATATAACCTGATTGAAAATGGCAGCATGAAAAGGGTAGAAAAGAGCATGTATATCAGCTGTCAATTAGAGTGGGACAAACATGGAAATTGAGCTACAGCAAACAAAGTTTTTGAAGAACACTGTTTTCACTGTATATTGCCTCAGGCCCTTATTGAAGCAAAAAAGGTTCAGTTTTAAAGTGGGAGAGGGAATTAGGCCCAGAAAGGCCTGTTTCCTGCCCTCATGGCTTTGTACTAGGTAAAAATGAACTCTTAGAGATAGCTTTGGTAAGGAGGAAGTCTTCTATTCACTTGCTATAGTGACAGCCCTGAAAGGTTCTCTCTTCTTATACACTTAATGGTGTATTTTCTTCGACTTCTCTGCACTGTATTGCTTAGGATATAGTTTGATCCCACCATGTAGGAATGTGTGTGCTTGTGTGAGAATGTTTACCAAGAAAATAAACAACATGTTGGTGGAATATTATCTGCCTGAGTGCCATATTTTCCAGTAGAAAGGCAGGGTACAAATACAAATTTGATCGATAAAATCAAAGAGCTGGCTTCCCTTATGAAGTAAATATCATGCCCAAAGTTAATTATCAACAGTGAAAGTATTCAGCTTTCACACTTTTTATAATAACTTTGGGTTATGCAGCACTTTTCAGTTTTATGGAAACTACTTTGATCAGCGGGGCGAGGTTCAGTTCTTAATCTGTTCTACTGAGATACTAATACTAATAAATAATACTGTTCCCAAGTTCTCTCATGGTTAGATTATTATGGATTCCACATATACTAGTTGCTTCTGTAGAACAGTTTAACTATTATGGGAAGCATCTTTGTGTGTCTCAACTTGTTTTTAGTGAGAAATATCTGTGACCCACAGACAGATTTTTCTAGTAATATTTGAACAACATGCATTTATTTTATTAGATTTATATCCCCCTTTTTTCTTACAATGAATTCAAAGTGGCTTAAACAATTCTCCTCCTGTTGCTCACAACCTTATTCCTATAACAATCCTGTGAGTTAGGCTCAGATGAGAATCTGTAACTGGTCCAAAGTCACCCAGTTGGCTCCATGGCTGAACTGAGACCAGAACCTGATTGCCTGAGTCCCAGTCCTGTGCTCTTAACCACAAAACCACA